CCCCAAAACCCCAAAACCCCAAAACCCCTGATGTATGTGTTTTAACTATATTATTGGAATTCGAGTTTAAATATTCAAGTAACTAATGAGTTCTGCTAAATTATAACATCATCATGATTGATAAAATATAACAAGAATTGTGAATATCTATTGAAAATGGGGAAAATGGCTAAGCTGCTCACATTTGAGCAGGTAACATAGGGTGGAAAATATCCTATGATTTTGGAAAGGACTATTCTCCAAAGAGTACCTGAAGGAAAAGAAATAGACCCAACTGAATATGAACATCTACTATTAGACGGAGTCACCGTTCCCGATATATTTGAGCATGACAGAGAGTTTTTAGAATAGTTCATAAATGTTACTTCTATCTCATTCAACTCCTGTTGCTTGAAAAGTTTGACTTAATTTCCAAAGCTAGATAAAGTTATTAAAATTGAATTGCAAGACAATAAAATCCAAAAAGGTTTGGAGATCTTAATTGAAAGATGCCCAAATGTTGAAATTTTGAAGCTTGGAAATAATTAGATTAATTCATTGAAAGAAGTATAGAAATTAGGACCTTTAAGAAATTTGAGACACTTAGACTTAATTGGAAATCCATTATGTGAAATTATTAACTACACAGACAAAATATTTTAGGTTTTACCTGATTTGCATAACTTAGATGGCCAAGATTAAGAAGGAAATGAAGTGATCACTGATGAAGAAGATATTAACGAGGAGAACGATTTAGATGACTATGGAGATGAATAAGATATGATAGCTGACGGTGTGCTGCAAGATTAGAATGATTAAGACAGCGGAAGTAATGGAGAAGACGACCAAGATGAAAAGGATGGCGATGATGAGGAGGAAGATAATGATAGCTATGAAGATTAAAAAAGTAGTGAAGAGTCAGATCCAGGTGATGAAGGCACTGAGGATGAAGAGGAAGTTACGAGAATATAAAAACTCAACTAAAGAGATAGTTAAGAAGAGCGATTAGAGCAAGAATAAAAATTAACATACAAAAAAATGAAAATGCTTGAATATTCATCAGGAAGTGATTAAGATGATGGCGAGCATAGTGAAATTATTAATCTCGGAAAAAGAAAAGCAAGAGCCCTAAAGAGTTGTTTTCCATTGGATAAAAGACTCTGCACTGATGACTTTTGATTTGCTACTTGTATTTAATTTGATAAAAATTTATGGCTTAAATTTAAAGCATGATGGGGTTTTGGGGTTTTGGGGTTTTGGGG